CTCTCCAAGGAGTGTATCTACTTCAGGTAAATGTTCAACTCATATGCCTGTCTTTTTGGCTGGCAGCCACAGGAGTGGGTTCAATTCCAGACCTGAAGGGCAGCTAGGTGCTATAGTCTCAGTGGTTCTGGGTGGAACCTTTTGAAGGACTCTTGGCTCTCAGCTCTGGAGCAAGCCAGCAGGGGAAAAAATCCTGTTGCTATAGCCAAGTGTGTCTGGGAAGCCTGGAGTTGACAGCAGGACTAACTTCTGTTTCTTATGAATTCTACTGGATTTGTCCCTCACTTCAGCACACAGTGCAAGGCCATGACCTCTGTCAAGTAGTAGGAAACATAGAGGTTTTGAGTGTAGGTTTTAAAGTCAAACAGATGTGCTTTGAATCCCTAATTAGCTGTGTGTCCTTAGGCACCTCTCTGGGCCTTACTTTCCCATCATTAAAAATGGGGTAAATACCTCTGAGAGCTTTACAAAGATTAAATGAGGTCACACCCAAAACACGTGGCATATGCCTACATTTAGCACTTCACCAGTGTTTGCTCTGATTAGTGTAGTTATTGTTATCATGGTTATTTCCTGGGTGTTGTCACTAAATGGCTTGTACCAAGTCTACATTCGTTTGTTCATTTGCTTAGTCACTTGATTCCCCAGCTTGCCCCTGGAATTCAAGTTCTAGCTCTGCTACCTTAGAGTTGCATGATCTGGGACGAGTCATTTGACCTTTGTGAAACCAACCAGGACTCCCTCTCTGTCTTCCTCCAGAAGGTTGTTGTAGGGAGCAAATAAAGTAATGGATGGGAAACCTCTTTCTGAACTTTAGCACAAACATAGGGATGATTATTAAAAGCAACAAGGCCCCCATTGATTATAGCATTTATTTAGGGGAAAAAAATAGCACTTGATCTTGAGTAAGGCCCCCATGGGAGTGGGAATCTCCCAGCATGTCTGTGGAGAGGGGTTAGGTCTTTTAAGATACCATTAATGTCATAGTTAATGGTGATAAAACACCGGAATCGCGACCATGATGGTTTTTTCCTTTATAATTGCATTCACCTCGAAAACCACAAGTAGCAATGGGTCCCAGTGGTCATTATTTTATCTGTAAAACTAATTGGAAGTTGAGAGAGCTCTCAGGTTTTGCTTTTGTCAGGACAGGCCAAGGAAAGAGATGGGTATAGGAGGAGGGGATCTTCAGGGCTGGCCCAGGCCAGTCTGACATTCAGCTCTCTCCTTTGTTCTCCTTCCTTGGCAGGTTCTGGGCCTGCTTCTCTTGGTTGAAGGGACAGCCTGACCTCAAGGGCCAGTCCTCTCCTCTGGAGGGAGATTTTATCTCCCATTGTTCTTGTCTCACCTTGGACCCCTGCAGAGCCCTTCCAACCTTCACTTCTTTCTTTGAGGTGGAGAGTGCTAAATGGGGCTTCCCCAGAAAAGAGCTCTGGTGGGATAGTGGATAAGACACTTAATTGCTAACCAGAAGGTGAGCAGTTCAAACCCATTAGCCAAACTGTGGAAGGAAGATGGGGCAATCTCCTTCCATAAAGACTTACAGCCAAAACTACTCAGAAATTGGTTTTGCAACTCTGGTGCTGGGAGGCTGGAGGCTTGGCTTCTAGGCCCATAGGAGTTAGGTTGAGGACTTCCCTTCTTTAGTGGCAGTGTCCTAAGCTGGAAAAATGCAAGGGTGGGATTGCTCATCTGGGAGTCCTCATCAACTCTAAATACTGTTTCTTTTATGTTTGTGTTTTCTCTCTTTTTCATTTTTTATTGTTGTGATAAAAATATGCACACTAAAACATTCGCCAGTGCAACTTCCACATTTACATTTCAATAACATTGATCACCTTTTTCATGCTGTGCTACCATTATCAGTATTCTGTTCCAAAACATTCCACCACCATTAACACTCAATGCTCCTCAAGAGCATGTGCTTATGAATAAAACAGACATACCTACCTGGTGGCCCTTCATCTCCAGACTTTTCAGTTGTGTTTTTGTGTTAGGTTTAATTTACTTACAACGAAATGCATAAATCTTGAAAATACAACTCAATGGATTTTTACATATAACAACATCTATGTGGCCGCTACACAAAACAAAATATAGAACCTTTTGGTCACCCCAGGAAATTCACAGATTCTGATGAGAGACATATATGTAGGATAGATGATGTGTCAAAATATTTGGCTTGGATGAAATGGTTCTTTAGTGGAGAAAGTTGGGTAGTCACTGAATAGGAACCTCTGGTCTCTGCATTTCTTTAGAGCAAATTTTCTCCAAAGAATTGTCTCTACTCGTGTTGTCTAATAGAACTATAACACACTCCACATAAGTGGTTTAAAATATTCTAGTAGCCACAATAAAAAAAAAAAAAAAGTGAAATTAATATTACTAACATATTTTAACCCAAATAGGTCAAAAATATTATCATTTTACTATGTAATCAATGTAAAAGCATTGAGATTTTATTTTTAAATGTTATTGCCTTTAGAACCATTGTTAAGCATACAATTCAGTTACATCATTCACCAAGTTGTGCAATCATTACCACTATTTCCAAGAGCTCTTCATCACCTCAAACAGAAACTCAATACCCTTTAAGGAATAACCCCTCATCCCCTGCAACTTGGCCCCTGGTAACCACTAATAAACTTTTATCTCTATGCATTTGTCTATTGTAGATATTTCATATTAGTGGGATCATACAATATTTGTTCTTTGGTGCCTGATTTTTCACTCAGCAAAATGTTTTCAAGGGTCATCCATGTTGTAGCATGTATCAGAACTTCATTTCTCTTTATGGCTGAATACTATTCTATTACTTGTATAAACCATGTTTTGTTTATCCAAGTGTTGCTTGGCGCTAGGGTTATATCTGCCTTTTGACTATCATGAATAAGGTTGCAATAAACATTGTGTACTGACATATTGTGCACTCTTTTTTCATACTAAGACTTTGAAATCCAGCATGTATTTCACACTTTAAGCACATTTCAGCTTGCACTGGCCACATTTCAATTGCTCAACTGTACCCACATGTGGCTAGTAGCCGCCATATTGGATAGCCCAGGTCTATACTCACTAACTCTGATTCTCTCCTTCCATTTCTCTTGTACACACTTGAATCAGATATTTACTTCCATGACCCTTCCCCCCAATTTGTACTTCCCAAGGTCATCAGTGGCTTCTGCATTACCTAGTGCATGGTCAGTTCTCAGGGTGTCCTCAACCTACTTGACCCATCACCAGCATTTGGCATTGAAAATCACTTCCTTCTTGAAATATTTTCTTCAGTTGGCTTCTAGGATTCGTCTCTCTTGGTTTTCCTATTATCTCACTGGCTGCGCCTTCTCCATTGCCTCTGCTTGTTTCTCATTTTTTCCTCCAAACTTTAACTATAAGGATACCCTGGAATCAATCCTTGGACTTCTTCTCTACTCTTTCTATACTTCTTCCTTTGGTGGCCTAACCTTGTCTCTTGACTTTAAAATATATCTGAATGGCGATGACTGCCAAACATATCTCCTGCCCTAGATCAGGTCATCCTTTTCCTTATACTCTGCAGTCATTTCCATCTCATTAAGGGTGAGATCTGAAGTCCTTACGGTGGCCTCCAAGGGTGTCCATGAGCTGACCTCCCGCTTCTGCTCTGCCTCCTTACTTCCCACTCGTACCCTCATTCCGCTCTGGCAGCCACACTGATCTTGCTATTTCTCCTTTCACTTTCTCGCCTCAGGGCCTTTGCATTGGCTTTTCCCTCTGTCTGGAATGTTTCTTACCTAGATATGCACAAGACCAACTCTCTCATCCTTCAAGTTTTTACTAGAATGTCACCTTATCAGTAAGGCCTTCCCTGACCAATAGACAGCACATATATATGTCACATATAAAATAATACCCTCCAGCACTTTCCATCCCCTTATTTTATTTCTTTTGCATTTACCACAATCTGATATATTCTGTATTTATTTGCTTTTATTATTCTTGCCCCCATCCCACCATAACATATTAGCTTTTTGAGGACAAGGCCCTTGTCCATTTGCTCACGGCTATATCCCCAATGCCTAGAATAGCATCTGGCACATAGTAGGTTCTCTATAACTATTTTTGGGTGAATAAATGGTTATTGCTCATAGATGAACAAGATAAAAGACGACTTTGGATAAAAGATGCCTTTGCCCCAAAGTAGATCCATCTAGTTAAGAGTCTGAGTTCAGGCTGGACTGCCTGGGTTTGAATCAGGACTTTGAACTGGTTCATTCCAGTTCAAACTCCTGCTAAGAACATACTTTTTTTTTTTTATTTTTTATTGTGATTTGGGTGAAGATTTACAGAGCAAATTCACTTTCCATACAGCAGTTCACATATACTTTGTCTCATGACATTGACCACAATTTACCACAATGCAACAGCTCCCCTCCCACTTCCTCCTAATAATTACCTCTTCCCTGTGTCCATCCCTCCATGCCTTTCTGCCCCCTGAGCTGTCTCCTAGTGCATAAACAGCCCTTCTTTCTCCCATGATTGTTCTCTCCAAGGAGTGTATCTACCTCAGGTAAATGAAGAACGTGCATCTGCACCCCAGATATATTGAATCAGAATCTACATTTTGAATCAGAAGCTACCTGAGGATCTTGTTAAAACGTAGATTCTGATCCAGTGTATCTGAGGTGGAAATGCAAACGCTCAGCAGGGGATTGAACTGGAATGAACCGGTTCGAAGCTCTAGTTTTAATCCCAACTCACTGGCCAGTGTGTGACCATGGGCAATTCACTTAACCTTTCTGCACCCCAGTGCCTTTGTGTGTGAAAGGAGGAGAATGCTAATGCCTCCCATGAGGCTGTGTGAGACGCCTATGACATTCCACATGGGAAGCCACCTGGCTGACACCGAGTGCTTGGTAAATGTTAGCTGTTTTTTTTTTTTTTGATGATACTTTTAGTACCACTTTGGGGAATGTTAAGTATGTAAAACACATGTAAAAAATGAAGCTGAAGATAAAAGAAAATGCAGACCAGTATGCGGGGATTTTATTGTATTTACAAAGGAAAAAGTAGGTCTAAAATTAATAGAGATTAACAGGATTTGGTAGTGATTTGGCTACAGGTGGCATAAAGCACAGGCGGAATCTTCATCCTTGGGAATTCCTGCTGTGGAAAGAAAGATCAAAGTTCAGTCTGGAGGATTGATGGAAGGGTCAGTCAGGGCAGGGTGCTAGGAACCAAGGCAACAGTTACTCCAGTGTCAGGAGCTAGCTGTCTGGGCTCCAAAAGAGGCTGTGTGGGATGGAGGGAAGGATGTGTACGTGTGCCAGCAAAACTGACCTTGGCCTTAGCCCCAGTTCTGCCACCTCACTTCCACTGACATCCCAGGCCTGTCGCTTCCACTTGAGAAGCCAACTCTAATCTCCGGACATCTCTTACCATTTATCACAATGTACTGAAATAATCCATTCTACAAGCACTTGTTAAATTCCTGTCTCCCTCACTGCATTATGAATTCCAGGAGAGCAGGGACACCCCACCCCACCCCCCACCATCCTGTTCACTGCTGTACTCTCAGCCCAGAGCCTGGCACATAGAAATCATTGAAGGATTGAGAATGGATAAATCTAAACCTCAGTTTCATTATGGGGCAAATATGCAGAGCACAAGGTGTTGTGGGTGCAAAAGTGTGCCATGAAAAAATCACTCTCCTTGCCTCCCTCCATGTGGTGCAAATGGTTAACACATTCAGCTGCTACTGAAAGGTAGGAGGTTCACGTCCCCCCAGAGACTCTTCCAGAAGAAAGGGCTGGTAACCTACTTCTGAAAAATTGGCCATTGAAAACCTGATGGAGCACCATTCTACTCTGACACACATGGGGTGGCCATGAGTTGGAATCAAATGGTTAACTGGTTTCTGCACTTTAAAGCTATAAGAACTCATTCTTATTTTGGGTCCTCTGAGACCCACAGAGACCTCCTGGTATTTGCCGTAGTTGAGCTGGAAGGCAAACAATAGCTGTGGCAGCCTCCAGACCCCTCCCTCCCTCTGTGCTCTGTGACTTCTAGCTCTCCCAGGACTCTGCTAGGCCTCTGGCTTTTAACCTGCAGGAATAAAGCCTGGATTCTTAGGACTGCCCCCCTCGGGGCCCCTTTAGCCTACCAGAGCCTGGTGGGAGCCATCAAGCAGGTGAATGATTACCTAATCTCAGCTTGGCAGGCACAGGGGAGGCATTTTTCTTAGAGGCATTATTCTTAGGATTCTAGCCCTAGGGACCTTTGAGGTGATAGCAGCTAACTTCCTCCTTTCACAGAGGAGGAATCTGGGAGACTGATGGTTGCCGTGTACAGTGTGTTGGTTGCAGAACCAGGCCTAGGGCCCAGGTGTCCATCCTGCCTCCCAGCCTGGCCCTGCACCTCCTGTAGTCTGCCCATTGACCTGCTTCACTTGAATATCCACAGGACTGTGGTTGGTGAGATCTCCAGGCTTCTGGCATCTAATTAGGTTGGGAAGAAGGTGAGGGAGCACGCGGAGAGCTCGGTTGGGAACTGGATCTGCTTAATAGCTTGTTCCAGAAGTGCCTGACAAAGTCACGTTGGGACATGCTTGTGTTCACAGTTTAAAATCAGCCTCTGAAATACAGCAGTCTCTCCAAACAGGTATGTATTTCTTAGGAAACTTTGTCCAAGGAGTGGAGCTTGCATAAAGAAGCCCCAAGGAGGCAAAGCAGGCCTTGGTCCTGCTTGTCCCTGAGATCAAACCAAAGAAACTCACTGCCACTGAGTCAATTCCAACAGTGACTCTCTCTCTGAGGCCTCCTTCAGCGTGGAAGAGGAAAGAAACCTTCCTTTTCAAACGCAGGGGCTCTGCCAAGCAAACTGGCAGCAAGGTCCCTTCTTACAGATTCAAGTGACATAGAATCAGCTGCTGTCCTTTCTTTGCCTCAGTTTTCCTTTTTTGTAAAAAGGAAGAAAGCTCATTCCTGATCTCCTCTGATGCTCATTGGGATGTGCGGGTCAGTGAGATGGGGAATGACGACATTACTGATAATCACTGCACACACGTATCACCAGAGGTGGTGGGGTAGGGACTGGCTCTCTTGGGCTTTATAGTTTTGTGAACTTGGCAAGGGATCTAGGGTGTGCTTCTCAGGTCACCTGCATCAGAATCCCTTGGGACACTTGTTAAAATTTAGATTCCTGGGTCTTATCCCAGAACTGTTGAATTAAATAACACTTTCAGGCACAGACTCTGAGCTTACTCTCTTGTTGCTCACTGGGGACACGGCAGTGGGTAAGGGCCAGTCTCCATCACCCATTTTCTTCCCTTCCTCTAGTTCTGCTTCTTCTTTTTAGTTGTAAAAGTATTGGTAACACAACATTTGCCATTCAACATTTTTCATTTGTGTAATTCAATGAAACCAATTGTGTCAGTCATGTTGTGTAACCATCACCAATACCCATTATAATCTAAATGCCCTTCCTCTAGTTCTTGATGTGTGTATGAAGGGCCCTTGTTGCCTGTTTGCTTGGCAGAGCTCCATGCCTTTGGAAAGGAAGGGATTCTTTCTTTTTCCTGGCAACGCACACTGAAGAAAGCCTCTGAGGCCCCCATGTATACACACACACACACGCATGCATGCATACACATACACACACATGCACACATGCACACATGCACACACACACACTTACTCCTACCTGTGCTTCTGCAGCAGGGCCACGAGGATGCTCTCCAACGCCATCTGCTTTTGGTCTGCCCACATACTCTCTACCTGACGGCCAGGTCGCACCCTTGCTCCTTGCTCCTGATTTCTCTCTCTGTTTGGTTAGAAAACAAGAAACAACTGAAGTTCCTATTTGGGTAGAACTGTGGAGAGGCCTGGTAGAAACCACGACAAAGTGAGACTTCTTAAAATATATGCAAGCTGAGGAGGAGTGTGTCTTTATGCCTATTTCAATAACCAGTGTGGTGTGGACTCTTCCACCCAAATGAATTAGATTCAGCAACAATTTAGAGAGGCAGCATACATAGTCCTGAAGAGTACAGGCAGTGAAACACATGGTTGCAAAATACCTCCCCAAAGATTACCTATTAATCACAAAGGGAAAATTCTTCACTAAGGAGAAACCCAGCAGACACCACACAAACCAAGAGATCAGATTAACACCGTAAACTGACATCTTGGGACTTCTGATGTGATGCACTGAGGAGGACACAATGTCACTTCTGTGAATGCATAACTTAATCTAATCACAAGGAAGCATCAGACAAATCCAATATGAAGGATATTCTATAAACGAATGGCCTTTACTAAATAAAAATGTCTAAGTCATGAAAGACTGAGAAATTGTCCCAGATTAAAAGAGACTAAAGAGACATGAGCTCTGGTAGCATAGTGGCTAAGGCACTTGACTGCTAACCAGAAGGCTGGTGGTTCAAACCTACCAGCCACTCCTCAGAAGGAAGATGGGGCAATCTACTTCCGTAGTGATACTGCCTTGGAAACCCAAGGAGGGGTCGCTATGAGTCGGGTCCTACTTGACGACACATAACAACAACGACAAGAAGACATGACAGCAAAACATAACCCGTGATCCAAGATTGGATCCTGGGTCAGAAAAAGAAATAATTGTTATAAAGAACAATTTGGGCCAACTGGTGAAATTTGAATATGGACTATAATTGATGATTATACCATGGCTATGTAAATAGTGAATGTCCTCTTTTTAGGTCTTAGGAAAGCCATGTGGCAATATCTAAAGGTAAAGGGTCATGATGACTACAATTTCCTCTCAAATGATTCAGCAAAATAATAATAATATTTGTGTATGTATACCTATCTCTAGGTATAGCTATAGTCCGAGTAAGCAAATATGGTTAAATATTAGGGATTTGTGAATATAGGAACAGGCATGTGGAAGGAAGTCCACTGTAGTACTCCTGCAACTTTTCTGTAAGTTTGACTTTTTTTTCCCCAAAAAATAATAACTGAAAAACGGTACAGGCTGTGGAGTCAGACTATTTGGGCCCTAACTCTGCCTCTCTTTGGCTGTGTGTCCTTTGTTGTTGTTTCTGTTAAGTGACAGCAAGTGGCTTTTGACTCATAGACCCCATACACAACAAGACGAAACATTGCCTGGTCCCGCACCATTCTCACAATCCCTGCTACGCGTGAGCACTTCATCGGGCTCACAGCCACTGGGTCGATTCATCTCATTGAGGATCTCCCCCTTTTTCTCTGACCCTCCACTTTACCAGCCATGACCTCCTTCTCCAGGGACTGGTCCCTTCTGACCACAAGGCCTTTAGCAAGCTATTAACCTCTCTGTAAAGTGGAGCTAAGAGCACCTGTTTTGTTGGGTGGTTACAAAGATTGATAAGAAAACAAGAATAATAGCAAAGGGAAGAGACCAAACTTGGTCCCTGGCCTCCATGTCCGCGCTTCCCGACTGATACACAGTGGTGGGGAAGAAGTCACCAGAACTTTTGCTCACCCCTGTGGCCTGCTCATGATGTCCTGGAGTAGCTTACGGGCAGACAGCTGGCCCAGCACCTTCCGGTAGCTGTTGGTAAAGATGGCATCTGCATACCGCCGCATCCTGGAGGGAGTCAGAGGTCAGAGGGTGGGTAGCTGGGGGCAGGCAAGGGGACAGTGGGAGGTGCACTCGCCTGTCTTTGTGAGGCCCTCTGTCGCCTTTTGCCCTGCTCACTCCCAGAGAGGCTCAGCCCCTGGGCTCCATTGCCTCCCTGGAACTCAGCATCTGCCCCCCTTTCAGAGATGGGCAATGGGTACTATCTAGGAAGCCATCTGGGGACTAGCTGATGGCTTGGTTCTGCATCCTCCAACCCCTGTGACAGAGATGGCTTGGGGATGACCAGGAACCAAGACCTTGTTGGCAAAGCTGCTTACCTGAGAGGGAGAGGGGGTGGGGAGCAGTGGGAACCATTGCTGAGGGTGAGGATCACGAGGAAGAACACCCAGAGTAGCATCCTTCACCCCTGGGTGGCACCTGGAAAATGACAGGAGGGGAGGGTCAGGCACAGTCACAGTCACAGAAATGCCCTTTGTGGGCTGGGCCCAGCCTCGGCTCCATGACAAATCTTGGCCCTTGTTCTTTGGAAGCTGTGGGCTGGGGTGAAAAAAAAAAAAAAAGACTCTGGAAGTTAGATAGACGTGGATTCAAGTTCTGACTCTGCCAACCATGAACTCTGATCTCATTTTCTCCATCAGAAAAATGAGCACGGTAAAACTACCCTGGTGACCTCATAGGGTCATACAGAAAACTAATAACAGTGGCAAAACTGGCTCGTGCTGTGTGACAGTATAGGTGGGATTCAAGCCTCAGCAAGAGACAGGAGCAAGCTCTTCCTTTCAGTGGCCCTAGGCCATCCTACTCAGGGTGGCATTAACAGTAGGGAGCAGGGGTAATAGCTCAGACTGTGAGTCAGACAGCTCTGAGTTTAAATCCAGGCTCTACCATCACTGGCTGTGTGTCCCAAGACAAGTGACTCCTCCTTTCTGGAGCTACCTTTAAACAGAGACAGAAACTATACCTCCCATATAGGATCCTTGTGAGGACTGGATGTGATGAGGAGTGTCAAGTGAGTAGTAGTAGCAAGTGCCTGCCACAGAGGGAAATCTCAATACACCTTTGCTGTCATTGCTAATATCAGACTCCCTCTGAGGGCAGGCTCATCCTGTATTTTTCCTGTGGAGCCAGAGGGAAGGGAGGAAGGCTGTAAATCTTGCTCTAGATGCTTAGATTTCAAGAGGAGTTTGAGCCCTGGAGGAGATCTGAGAGCCTGGGGAGCCAGTATGGCAGAATATTCTCACAGATCTTGTAATTATCCTTAATTGGGGACTGTAGACACCATGCTCTGCAATTAGAAGAAGCAGAGAAAGAGCCCGCCTCAGCTGGGGTGGGACCACTGCTGCCAATCCAGACCTGCCCCAGTATGGGAAAGGCTGGCCCAGGGTGACTTAACCCACCCAGGAACTGGGCCTCACTGAAATGCGCCCTCTCTCAGCACTCTCAAGGGGACACAGATCTACCCAAAAGCCCGGCTGGCCCCAGAGAGGGGCAGGACCCCTCCTCTCCCATGATCATCTCACAGTGCTCTGTTTCCTCCTGGCAAGTGTGTTCTGGTAGACGGAGCCTACACTGGCAGAACACACCTTCCTTTTCTAGGCTCACCTGTGCTCTCAGGACATCACCCACCTCCACCTAGGCACTGGGGTTCCCAAGGGAGCACCCACCAGGGGCTGCTCACTGAGGTCTGAGACCCCCACACCTCCAGAGCTGGAGGGAACAGCCGGCCAGGCCTTGGCCATCAGCCCCTTCCTGATGTGCACCCCCTATACACACAAGGCAGCCCTCCACTTCCTGCTCTATACTTGCTGCCAGTGAGTGATGGGGAGCTCACTACCCCCAAGCTAGTCTGTCCTCTTTCCAGGCAACTCATTGTTAGGAAGTCTTTCTTACATTTGTCAAGCCCAAATCCCCTACCTTGCAAATATGTGTTGTGTGCTCTCAAGTCGATTCCAACTCATAACAACCCTACAGGACAGAGTAGAACTGCCCCCATAGAATTTCCTAGGCTGTAATCTTTATGGGAGCTGATCACCAAGTCTTTCCTCCTGGGAGCGGCTGGTAGGTTTAAATCACTGACCTTTCAGTTAACAGCCGGACCATTGCAATGGTTAAGTGAGCAGCTTAACCACTGCACCACCAGGGATCAGCCTCTACTACTCCAGTAAGGACTAAAGCTGGAGAAAAGACTAAACATGGTATCTGCCTCCAAGGGCTGCCCCTTACTGTGCACCTTTATTCACATAAGGAGTCCTTTAGAGAAATTTAAATTTTTCATCTGACTTAAGCCTTTGCTCCTCAGACCAAGACCTTCAGTCTTCTGCCATTTTCCTCATCACACCACATGACATCTGGCTCTTTTCCTCCAACTTGACCCAAGCTGTACCTCTGTCAGTGGAATTGGTTAAGCAGGAGTTCTTTGGAGGCAAGGAAAGTCCTTTGACAAAGAACTCTAAAAACCACTGATTTTTTAGTCTCCCAGTTGCAGCCTGTGCTTTCTTGCCTTCTTTGCTGCTGATCTTCTAAAGATTGGTGGCGTAGTGCCTAAGGCATTTGACTGCTAACCAGAAGGCTGGCGGTTCAAACCTGAGACACTTCTCAGAAGGAAGGTTGGGCAATCTACTTCTGTAGTGATACTGCCTCGGAAACCCAAGGAGGGGTCACTATGAGTCAGATCTACCTCGATGGCAGTGAGTTGGTTGGTTGGTTGGTCCCCTAGTCACCTCACTCCCCTTCTAAAAGCCCTTGGTTCTCCCACTCCTTCCCGAGCAAAGCCCAAGCACCTCCTCTTAGCCTAAGCTCTCCCTGTGCCTCCTTACCACTGGCTCCTTCCTCATAGGTCAGGCTTGTCGTTCCCAGCCTCCGGACCCTCCTGGACGATTCAGCCCACCCTCACTTTCACCCTCCAGGGCAAGCATCACGATCCCCATTTCACAGCCAAGGAAACAAGTCCAGGGAGGAGAAGGACCTTTTACCACGGTCCTCCATCAAATTAGTTTTGGAGTGGGCACTTCAGAATGAGTATCCCAATTCCCAGGCCTGTGGACTTCCTCCTGCTCCATGCCACAGCATCCCGGATACAATACCCTATTCACAGTGCTCCCTATTCACTCGGGACACTTCAGAATTCATCACCTGCATGTGGGAAACTGCTCTGAAAAAAAAAAAAGAGGAAAGCTTTTGCTCTTTGTCATTGTGACTTTGGGGAAGAAAAAAGGGGAGCACATAGGGGTACCTGCTTGATTAGAGTCTCCCTGTGCATACACAGTAGTTTCATGGAGTTGAAAATACCTGGTAAAAGGGCAAAATTTGGGGAGCAAGTAATAAATAGTAAATACTGTAATACTCTACTCCTCAGTATGAGACTAATTTCACCATGCTGGGTTGGGCAATCCTACTTCCGTAGTGATACTGCCTCGGAAACCCAAGGAGGGGTCGCTATGAGTCGGGGCCGACTTGACGGCAAATAACGATGACGACGACGACGACGGGTAATCAAGAGGCATAACGGGAGGCTTAAACCATGTGCCCCGGGGATGGGTCAAGACACTCTTGCTGGACTGGGAGAACCTAACCCATGGGACTGCAAAATTCCGCTGACAAAGATGGGAAGCAACCAGAATGATCCAGTTTAAGACCAGAACTCAGACAAGAGTTTGTGCAACAAAGAATAAAATAAGTGTTGGCAGACAAGTCCCACACGGCCATTCCAAGAAGCGGATCTCACTGACTGAAGTATAACACAAACCCAACAGCATCCCTGACACCCCCTTGATGGCTCCAAAGGCATTGGAGAGCTTATTATCTCTTGTTGTATCAGTTCGCTTTCTGCAGGGCTTCCAAACTAATTCTGTGATTAGATCCATTTGAGGTCATCTGGCCACAGGATGAATGGGCAATTGCTTGACATTACTTGGCAACCTTTGCCAGCCTTCCTGCCAAGAATGCACCGAGAATCCTGCAGATGCAGTCTTCCACTGAAAACAGAGGTCAGATCTCAAATACCACAACAAGCCAGGACACTTTTGAACACCTAGGGAAAAATCTTCGTCCTTTCATATATATTCTGCTTAGTAATTCGAGAATCCTAAAGCCATGACATGGGGATCCCTGGTGGCTATAAAGCAATGACAAGGAGCAAGGAGCCCTGTAGGGCAACCACTGAGCTCTCGGTTGCTAACTGAAAGGTTGGTGGTTTGAACCCACCCAGTGACTCCATGAGAGAAAGACATGACTAGCTATTTTTGTGAAGATTACAGACTAGAAAGCCCTATAGGGCAGTTCTACTTTGTCACGTGGAGTTTCTGTGCATTGGAATAGACCTGACAGCACCTAATAACAACAACAAAAAGCAGTGACATCTTGATGCAATTTACTAATTGTTTCACCCAGAGTGTTCCAAGTTGAAGGAAATCTAAGTGCTCCATGAGGAAGTACCTAACTGTCATTCAAAATGGTGACACCTCACCTCCTTCCAGAAAGGGTTTGAGGCTGCTTATGGTGAAAGATACGAATACATCAGGACCATCACAGTAAAGATCAAGAGACAGGAGTGGGGTGATGGAGGACACCTGGGGTGGAAGATTGTGTCTAAAACCTAGCGTAAGGAGCATGGCTGCAATTGAGCAAGAAAACAAAATACTATCAATTTCCAGGCAATTATGTTGAATTGGTTCTGAGCGATCAATGAGCCGTATTGATTTGCACAACCACTTGGCTACTCTCTAATCCATGGCAGAACCTTGCTGTCAACAAGAGAATCTCACCCAAAAGTACACCCTTGAAGGTGCACTGGCTCTTTCTTCACCTCCACCATGCTGGGAACATGCCTACTTGCCACTTCTCCGTGGGTTAAGGTGCAGTGGCATCCAAGACAAACCCAAAATGGTGCCAGTCATTGAGAGCATGTGCCAGAGCCCCTAACGGGGTTGTTTTATCCACAGAAGGGCCCTCATGTACTCACCAGTCTTTGGGCAAAGAGGATGATGCGGGGCCTCTTTGACTTGGCATCTCTGAGTTGGTGAGATGGTCAGTTTTCCTTGCCCCATCCAGCCTTGCCACCCCCCACCTCAGAACCACCCCCTCTCACCTCTGAGGTGGCAGGTCTCCCTCTGCTCTGAGATGCTGCTCCAGTCCCACACACTCGAGCTCTGTGTTTGCTCCAGCGGCTGCATGACACTCCCGTCATTTATACCTTCATTTTCCTAAGCGTTGTCAGCGTCAGAGAATCAATTACCTACCAAAGGACCAATTTTAGCATCACACTGACAAAACCCTAATAGGGTAAAGAGGTTTTGCCCCTTGCAAATGAAGATGTGTCCTGAGCCTTCCCTTTATCTTGGAGGAGGGTGAACAGAGCACACAGTTGTACTTTTATTCCAGTAGGAAGAGAGAGTATAAA